ATACATACTCACCTAGTCCATACTATTGACCTGAAATGTTTCATGCTCACAGAATAATCCAATAACACACCCAACATGTAGTTGGGCAAGGTGCACAATTTACCAAATATTTGCCTATTGTTGTACATTTATGATGCTCCACAATGCCCCACTTGTCTCAAACTTAACCAATTCCTGTAGTACCACTCATACACCTTTTCCTCACAAACTTGAGGCTAAGCTCACAAAGCTCAAAATAGACATAGAAGAGTTTAGACTTATAACCCATCTGCATAAACTGATCACATTGTGACCTTCCCACAATAAAACCTCCAGTTATTGCAATGATGCTTCTGAGCAGCACATCCCAAGAAAACTCACAGGAAAAATGGTGTATTGGCTTGTTACCCAAACTGATTTCTTATTCATACATAATCCAGTCACATTCAAAGCTTTAGTTGAGGTATTAATCTTGTAACACTTCTCTTGGTAAAGATTGCCTTGAAAACCTTGAAAAAGAAAAGAAGAAAAAGAAGAAAAAGAACATGTGTATAATACCCAAAAGAAACCCAACCCAAAGCACCTTCCTTGCATGTTTGTTTTTTTGCATTTTGATTTTCTCCAAACATTTTTCCATTGATTGATCGATCTATCGATCGATCCATTGATTCATTCATGAGGAGGCTCTAATAAAACTTTTCTCAATTCAATCTTTAATTTTTCTAATTCCAAAACCTGATCATTAAACGAATCTTGATTTAAATAAAACGGTAATGAATATTCGATTTGTTCAAACGATTTCAAAAGTTCTTGTACAGATAATGGAATGATTTCTAAACCACCTAATGGTCTTAATTTGATTGAATCATGTTGATTTAAAACATCCGATGGATTCAGACCTCCTAAACCTAATCCTACTTCTATTCCAATCGATTCATTCATCTTGCTTTGTATATGACTTTCACCTATTCCAGAATCTCCTATATGTTTTCTTTTGTTCCCAATACAAGTTCCAGAAGTAGAACCCGTTCGATGTTGAATCCCATTGACATTCGTATGTCCCATACAATTCGAATGAGAATGAGAATGAGACGAATGATCTTTTTCATCTTTCCTTCTAAGTGCTAATTCCTCTTTAACCTGAGCCCCAAAGAACTTAGCTTCTTCAATCAATTCTTCATCACTCGGCATCTTTTCCCAACCATCCCGATCTTCTTCTCCTTTCAAATCTAATAATTCTTCTATACTGATCCCTCTTTCTTCAATCATCATTCTACAATCTCTTTGTAATTGGATTAATGAAGATTGAGTAGCCATCAATGATTTTTCCATATCTAAATCTGACGCGAATTGTAGTTGAGATTGAGATTGGGATGGTTGTGATCCAAATGAAGTTAATAAACTAGTGGGTTCATAAATCCTTGAATCTTCTCTTAATCTAGTACTTAGAATTCCTGTATGTTTAAAACAATTTCGAATGGTTTCCGGTGTGATTTCTTCCCAAGCGTTCTGTGCAAACCTCATAGCTTTAACTTGTTCATCAAGTTTTTCAATCCCACCACGATCTCTACCAGCAATCACTAAAAGATTACTCTTAGATCCAAGTTCTAATTCACATAAAAAGTTTTGAATCAATTCTCTTCTATAATTCGATTTAAACGTTTTCAAGATTCCTGCATACATCGGTTGAGTTTGAAGTACCGAACTAGTAGGGAAGAAATGAACAGTAGTGTTCATCAACGAATCCGAATCATAAACATGTCCTGAAAAATTATCGATCAAAAGTATCACTCTTCGATCTTGTCTTTGCATCTCTCTATCAAATTTCTTAATCCATTCTGAAAAGATTGGAGCTGTCATCCATCCATGTGTCGTGAACCTATATGGATAATTTCGTTGTGGATCTAAATAATTTGTAGGGTCTGTTGAGCTACCGATACATAAAGGAGGTCGTTTATCACTTCCATCCGCATTCGCACAGAGTAAATAAGTTAACCGTGTCCTATTCATCGGATTCACACAAAGCGGACCCGTAAGAGGAGCAAGACTATAAAGAAAGACCATGGATGAGCGTCCCAAGTGAGTATTGAATTTGAAAACACATGAACATACTTGGTATATAACCCTACTTCATCAGCCACATAAATATCTCTCAATGCAAACCCATCGGTAACCAACCTAAGTTGTTCACGTACAGTTTCGATTCTAGATTCCAAAAAGAGTGGAGGAGTAGGTCTCACATAACTCTTCACATTATTCCTTCCTTTAAATCGGAGTAACCAACCATTTGAAACTTTTAATGAATCATCTCGAATTCCATAAAGTCTCATAAACACCTTTGTACGATCTTTCAAATTATCATCCGATGGTGTGATATTACGTGATTTGGCTTCAATAAAATATCGTAGTAAAGCTTCTTCAATCTGTGGAAAATCTCCTGTTCTTTGTCGTTTACTTGATGATCCTTTATCCATCACATATTCTCTTAATTCTTCTTCTTCTTTTAACCATCTACTCAATTGACTTTGAGTTAATCCGAACTTCTTGGCCGTTTGTTTCTGAGTCGCTCCTTCTCTATTATGATACTCTATGACCTGTAGTTTATGCTCCACTGTCGTGGAGTTTCGTTT